AACCCCATTTTTTTTTTTTTTTTTTAAACCTATTTTCTTCTCTCATCTATCTCATTTTTAACTAATAGATATACTTCTCTCAGTCTCTCTCTATGTATCCTCATCTATCTCATTGCTCTGGCTACTCTATTCATATTATGCGGGAACACCAACCAACCTGGATCCCTCTCTACAGTCTTCGAAACGCCCCGTCATTGAAGCTGAATTTGCTGCAGATCTGTGTCCAGATACAGCTATAACGCCCAGGCGTTGTATTCGGGTGAAGAAGGTAGCCCAGGGGTGGGTTTGCACCGCAACAGTGGTGGGAGAGGAAGGCTGTACCACTCCCTTATCAGGGATTGTTTGGGTGCGCAGCTAGTGCCCAGCATTATGGCCAGTCACTCCACCTCCCCCCTCCCCGCCCAGCACCACATTAGGGGTGTCTAATAGCCAATATGTTTTTTTGCTTAGCACCCAACAATATTGGCCAAGGTCCTGCCAGTGCTGTCCGGGGGGCCTAAGGGCTAATATCTGTGGATGGTAGGACACCAAGCATGCCCATTGCCCAGGCAGGTAAGTGAGGCCCAGGCGGCAGTGATAGGAATTTTTCTATGGGACTTTTTCAACTGAGCTCACTTGCGGTCATATACACGCACGTCAGGCTGTAGTTGGAGGCAGATACATCCGGGAATGCCCTAGTGGGAGTATGTGGGGCCGACGGGCGCTCAGTGAGCCATAGCTCGTGACGCCATAGCTCTTGACGAACGCAGCTGCAGGCGGACTGAGAGCAAAGGGCCTCGCGCCACCTTCCTCCAAATGCATAGAAGAAAAAACTAATGGCGGAGTATCTTTCAATGTTTTCTTGCGGCAGATTCACTCTCATTTTGCCGGTTTGGTGAGGCGTGAGGCGAGGGCCATACTCACACAGTCACACTTTCCCAAGTGGATCTGGTTCCAGCAGTTCCTCGATGAATGACGGCAATCACGTCCAGAGCTCTCAGCTTTGTAGAAAAACTCGCCGGACATCGGAGGCCATAAGCAACTATTGCTTTTCTGTTCTTCAAAGTTTTAACCTTTTGGTTTTTCTTCTTGAAAAGGGCATTTTTTGCCCAAGCTGATGGATTCAAACTGCTCATCTGGCGATGAACAATGACCTGCAGGTTTCTTTCACAAGGCTTCTATTGTTTATACAACGGGTGAAGGTCATGACATTATATAGTGGACCTGACCGGCCCAAGGTAGTTCAAGAATGTCATTCATCTGGTTCCGCCCGGATTCTATGGATTCGAACTCAAGTCTGCGCATTGCTGTTCTACCCCAGGCTAGTTGAATGGGACAATCATCTGAAAAACCCTTACCTCTGTGAGACAGTGTGGACATATAGAGTACTGGAAACAGAAAAGCCACCACATGCCAAAAAGATGGCAGTTATTTATAAAATGCAGTTGCTAGTTGGCCTATTTGTACGAGAACTTTGTACGAGAACGTTGACTCGTGAACAGCGAAAAAGCGCTATTTGAAAATATTCTCCATGATGGGTGGTCACAAAAACAGTTTGAAATTGCAGTACTAGGAACACGGTTTTAGCAGTCTAGTCAGGGCACGAGTTTGAAATGCAGTGCAGTTCATTTCAAACTCGGCCTTGCAGAAGTCAATTTTTGCTCCTCCGCGGTGAGCATAGTAGGAGACAACCTAAAAAAAAACAAGTCCAACAACGAGCCCAGCCACACACTTCAATATGCAACAACCAGAACCGCAATTGAGTAAATGAAGCTTATCATTTCAATCAAATTCAAGGGTACATGCTGGTATGACTGCCCCTACATCTTTGCCGCCTTGTTGTACAGCCAAAAAATCTTAGGAGTCCCTGTTTATGGCATTTTTCTTATTTTTTCCCAACCCTCAATTCCAACGACGCTTCTCTTCCCGTGTAGCATTTTTCTTCCTCCCCCCCTCCACCCCCAAAAGAAAAATTGCATTTGGGAACACTATGAGGTTAGCACGAAGAATATTCAAGTTCACAATGCATCCCCCTGTACAGTAACAGGCTTTTTTTTTTTTTTTTTTTTTTTTTTTTGGTGGTCAGTTGGCCAGCAGCATAGCAGGTGATAACCTCAAAGTGAATGCCTTACAGGTCTCAATGACATTAGATATGCTTCTGCTCAGTGCTCAGTATTGGCAGCGACAGCAGGGATCTCACAAGATGTGCTGCTCTCCTGAGTCCTGGTCTTTAGTTTCAACAGTTTACTTGCAGGATCGTATGCCTTGGCCTTATTTATTTATGCAGATGGGAGGACATCCCTCCAAATACAGCACCAGGTCATTTCCTTATTCCAGAACTGATTTCCCTCGACTTAAATTGACCCTCCTATTCCCAGTCCGTGCTACCCTCATTATCCATTTCAACCCTCTAAGACCTGTCTCTCGGTCTGCCTGTCACTCCTCTCTCCCGTACTATCCAGTTCATCAATCTCTCTGTACCTTTGCCTCTCTCTCTCTCTTTCTCTCTCTCTCTCTCTCTCTCTCTCTCTCTCTCTCACACACACACACACACACACACACACACACACACAC